GAAAAATCTCAAATAAACAATCTAACCTTACACCTAAAGGAAGTAGAGAAAGAAGAACAAAAACCCCCCAAAGTTAGCAGAAGGAAAGAAATCATAAAGATCAGAGCAGAAATAAATGAAATAGAAACAAAGAAAACAATAGCAAAGATCAATAAAAGTGAAAGCTGGCTCTTTGAGAAGATAAACAAAATTGATAAACCGTTAGCCAGACTCATCAAGAAAAGAGGGAGAGGACTCAAATCAATAAAATTAGCAATGAAAAAGGAGAAGTTACAACAGACACCACAGAAATACAAAGCATCGTAAGAGACTACTACAAGCAACTATTCCAATAAAATGGACAACCTGGAAGAAATGGACAAATTTTTAGAAAGGTATAACCTTCCAAGACTGAACCAGGAAGAAATAGAAAATATGAACAGACCAATCACAAATAGTGAAGTTGAAACTGTGATTAAAAATCTTCCAACAAACAAAAGTCCAGGACCAGATGGCTTCGTAGGTGAATTCTATCAAACATTTAGAGAAGAGCTAACACCCACCCTTCTCAAACTCTTCCAAAAAATTACAGAGGAAGGAACACTCCCAAACTCATTCTATGAGGCCACCATCACCCTGATACCAAAACCAACCAAAGATACTACAAAAAAAGAAAATTACAGACCAATATCACTGATGAATATAGATGCAAAAATCCTCAGCAGAATACTAACAAACTGTTCCTTCAGTAAGTCCGAAAGAGAAAAACAAATATCATATATTAACACATATATGTGGAACCTAGAAAAATGGTACAGTTGAACCAGTTTGCAGGGCAGAAATTGAGACACAGATGTAGAGAACACACGTATGGACACCAAGGGGGTAAAGCGGCGGGGGGTTGGGGGTGGTGGTGTGATGAATTGGGCAATTGGGACTGACATGTATACACTGATGTGTATAAAATTGATGACTAATAAGAACCTGCTGTATAAAAAAATAAATAAAATTCAAAAAATAAAAAAAATGATACATTCCATATAGATTTAATATTAAAATGTTTTTGGAAGAGTACAAGCAAAAACATAGGAAAGTCTTTTTATAGTCCTAAAATACAAAGGCCTTTAAACTTTTGATTTATTTAAAAATTTTTCACTTTGAAATGATTCCAGAATTTTTACAAAGAATTTTCATATATTCTTCCAATATACAAATGTTAACATCTTATAGAACCACAGTATAATTATTAAAACCAGGAAACAAACATTGATATAATATTATTAACTACTTCATTGACTTTACTCAAATTTTTCTAATTGTCCCACCAGTGTCCTTATTCTAGTCCAGGATTCACTCCAGGATCCTGGATGTCACATTTAGTTGTTACGTCTCCTTAGTCAGTTTTAATCTGGAAGAGTCCCTCAGTCTTTCTTTGTCTTTCAGGACCTTGACATTTTTGAAGAATACTGGGCAGGTATTTTTTAGACCATTGCTCAAGGTGGACTTATCTAATGTTGCTTAATGATTAAATTCAGATTTTTCTATGGCAAGAATACTATAGAAGTGATGTGGCGTCCTTCTCAGTGTGTCATATCTGTAGATATATGATGTCAATTTCAGAAGCCTTTTAAAGTGTGACATAAAATCAGAAACCATAGAAGACTAACTTGACCAAATAAACATTTAAATTTTCATCATGGCAAAAATATCCAGTAATAAAAAATACAAATAGAAATGTGATATAAATGACTCAGGGCAAATGACAATGTGAGAAACTCATAGGTTGGTGGGGGTCTAAACTGATAAGAGTTTTTATGAAGGATGTTCTGGCAGTATATACCAAAATTAAGAATATGCATCACCTTCGATCTCAGAAGTTCTTTTTCTAAGAATGTATCCTATGAACAGTTAGGATGGTATAAATATAGTTATAGTACTTGATATAGGAAAGTACTTGATGAAGGTATAAGAACACTCTTAGCAGCATTATTTGTAATATGGAATATTTTGAAACAACTTGAAAATTTAAGAATAGGAATTTGGTTAAATAAATTATTCCATAGAATGGAATAATATGCACTTGTTAAAGAATAAGATAGCTTTCATGCATTTTCATGGAAAATTGTCAATATAATCTATTGAGGAGTATATACTGTGTGATCCCATTTGTGTTTTCTAAAGATTGCATTCTTAGTAGAGCATAAAAACAACTAGAAAATTATGTACCAGGCTGTTAACAGTGACCGTCTCTCTGTGGGATGATTGTGTAGGGACACTTAGGGTTTCTCCATATTATTTGAGCATTTTGTAATAATCATCTATTATCAGCAAATAGAACATTTACACAGAAAATAACTCTGAACATAATATGCATATCCTGCCATCCTGTTGATATTTTGACATTTGAATTTTTGTGAATGTATATAAGCATATATAATTATCTTTTTATACAGTGAAAGTATATGCTTTGTGTCATTTTGAAATTTCCTTTTTCACTTCATGTCAGAAAATTTTAGGTCATTAAGTATTTTTAATTCATCATGGCTTTCCACTATTCCACTGAAATAGTATTCCACTAGTTGGATATACTACATGTGTATGTATAAATGTATGCATGCATGCAACTGTCTTCGTAACCAATTTCCGGTTGTTGCCTGTTTAGTTTGTTTATAAATTTTTATTATAGGTAGTAATACAGTATCTTTCCTTATAGGTCAAGTTTTGTGTGTATCCATGCTATTTCCTTAGAATAAAATTAGATTTGTTGGTTCAAAGGTATGCATGTGTGTAAGATTTCTGATATATATTGCATTGGCAATATATATATATTGCTATATATTGGATTGGCAAACTTTTTCTAAAAATACCAGACAGTAAGTGTTTAGGCTTGTGGGACGTAAGATCTCTGTCCCAACTACTCAACTCTATGACCGCAAGGTGTAAGCAGCCATAGACTATAAGTAAATGGGTGTGGCTATGTTCCAATAGGTTGCCAACCTCTTTACTATAACTACCATTTTACCAGAAATAAATGAATGTGTCTATTTGTTCTTACCTTTGCCAGCACTGGTTTTCCATTTAAAAAATAAAAATAATGGTTTTTATCACAAAAGTGGCATATATATTTTGGAAAATAGGAAAACGTGGATGAGCAAATATTAAAATACACACACACCCCATATACTTATCACCCAGTGATTATGGCTGTTAACACCTTAGTATATATTCTTTCAGAATATTTTCTACATGTATCTAAAGATATATCTTTTTTTAAATGAAAATGAGATCACACTGTATGTACTATTTTTTAACCTGCTTTTTTCAGTTAATGATCTTTTTCGTGTCAACAAGTCTTCATTTCATGTAATACTCAATCCATCTTCAAATTTTGCCTGTTGGCCCCAAATCTCTTTTACTGCTGGAATGTCAGCACCAGGATCCAACCCAAGACTGTCTTGAGCATCCAGTGTTTATTTTCATTAAATACATCTTATTCTAGAAGAGTCTTTATACTCATGAGAGTTGTTGAAAAGCCCAACCCATTTGTCCTGCAGGATATGCACAGATTTGTTTGGTGGCTTCCTTGAGTTTTCATTTAGCTTGTTCCTTGTCATAGTCAGCTCAGGCTGCCATAACAAAATATCATACACTGGATGGCATAAGCAACAGAAATTTATTTCTTCACAGTTCTGGAGGATGAAAGTCTAAGATCTGTACCAGCATGATCAGGTTCTGGTGAGGGCTCTCTTCTTGGCTTGCAGACAGCCACCTTCTCACTGTGTCCTCACATGGCAATGAGAGACCTTCCTCTTATAAGTCCACCAAGCTTATCAGAGGAGGACCCCACCCTTATGACCTCATTTATCCTTAATTACTTCCTAAAATCTCTGTCTTCAAATACAGTCACACTGGACGGGGGGGATTAGAGCTTCAACATATGAATTTGGGGGAAATATAGTTCAGTCCATAGCATTCCTGTAGCCCCTTATATTTCCTGTAAGCTAGATTCAGGTTAGATGCATTTGGCTAGAATACATCATAAGTGAAATTGCATGATTTATAAGTGCATCACACCAGGTGATACATAATATCTGGCTATTTCTTACTACCTTTAAAAAATATATCTGTCAGTTTGATAAGCAATTTCTGGTTATTGCCAGTTTTTACATCTTTGTCATTGTTTTCATCTGCATTTCTCTAATTAAGTATTTGCCTTTCGAAGATGTGAAGGGAAAGAGGAAAATGCATAGAAAATTAATTAAAGTGAGAAATCAGAAAGATTGGCTTGGATGGAAGAGGGAAAAATAAGAGGACAGTTGCAGGCAATTGTGATTGAGCTTGCTTTCCTCTTTCAATCTTTCCTAGTCGTGAATTTTATTTTGGTCTATTTGAGACCATGGTGATCATGCTGAAATTCAAGTCTTTTTGTCTGTAGCACCTCAGTTACTCAGTGGAAGGTAGGTTGCTGAAGTGTGCACAACAGCTGAGAGACTGAGCATTCCTAGGAAGTCTCCTCTAACACATTGCTGGGAAACTGTGAGATCACAGTCCTGCGGTCCTATGGCTCCTGAGTCATGCTTGCTGATATTTGAACCCTCTTTTGCTTTAAGCCCAGAAAGATTGGTCCTGATAAACAGTGTAGAAATGAGTGTGTCATTTTTCCTTAATGATGATTACCCAGTAGAGGGGTGGGATAGGGAGGGTGGGAGGGAGGCTCAAGAGGGAGGGGATATGGGGATATATGTATGCATATGGCTGACTCACTTTGTTGTACAACAGAAACTAGCACACCATTGTGAAGCAATTATACTCCAATAAAGATGTATTAAAAAATAAAATAAAATATTGGCAAACTAAAAAAAGAAAAAAAGAGTAAACTCAGCACAGCATCATCCCCTTAAAAATTCTCTAGTATTTTGGCTAATGACATTTATCTTATGGTATGTAAATGCAAAATTTGACTTAAAATTAGCTTTCAGTGTCATAGTAAACTTACAGTATAACTGTTTTCTTCAATCCAGAGAATGTCTTTCTATCCTGCACGTAATTCAGAAGAACAAAATTGAGCAGCGGTTCTTCTATGAGTTTGAAGGTGGCGTCAAGCTTGGAATAGGGGCCTTTAATTTGGTAAGTGATCAGAAAGCAACCAGAATCTTTTGTACAAGAACCTTAGGTTTTCAGTGCCTCTGCTACTGCATTTGAACCTCACCCTGAACCACTACCTGGGTTTGGTTGGCAAGTGGCTACAGTGGGATCAGTCTTCTTGTGCTGTGAACCAGTGGGGGCTTTGGCCAGAATGTGCTGTAAAGTTCTGTACATGCTCAGAATAGTTTTCGATTGTATAATAAGGGAAGCATGCAGCTCTCTGAATGGACTAGTAACATTTTTTGGTAATAAAGAGCTTGAAATTCAGTTCTATTTCCACATCAGAAATATTAGTGCTATAGCAATGGTGGCTCTGAAATTGAAAATAGGTGAGGGAACAATACAGTTTGAGGGATGATGAAGCTCTGGGGTAGATGAAGGGTTTGAGTAGATATCTGTCCAATTGCTATATTATTTAGATATTTTGATATTTTATTAAGGTTTGACTGGAATGGGTGAGAAAATTAAGTGGTAAAGGGAATCCCACACATAAGTGTATACACTACCGTGGCCGCTTTGTTCATGAGCCAATTGGTTGATGACGGAGGTGGCTGAGGAGAGAGGCTGGTTAGTGTCCACAAAATGAATCACCCTATCGACTTGATTATTAAAATCTTCCTCTGCTGAGGTCAGCCTTTGGTGAACATTCACATGGGACACAAATATCTTCACATTTTTTGCCCATTCTGAGAGGTCTGTCTGTATACCTCTTTCCCAGAGCTCCTTGTCATCAATTTTCCGATCATGTTCTTTCTAAAGCCCTGACCATCCAACCAAACCATTGGCAACCACCCATGAATCAGTAAATAATTGCATATATGGCCATTTCTCCTTCCAAGCAAAGTGAACAAAGAGGGCACTGCTCAAAGTTCTGCCCTGAGAGGACTTCCCTTTATCCTACTCTTTAGGGATGTCCCAGAGAGGGGCTGTAGTGCTGTAGGTGTCTACTTCTGGGTCATGCCTGCATATATGAAGAATACAACAGACTTTTGCTTTTGGAAAAGGATGCTAAAAGAAACACTTTGGAGGTGGACACTGGGGGTTATCTTCTCATCACTTTATCAACCCACATGAAAGGAGCAAGTGTTCTTTAGAGCATTCTGAAAAAGCCAGGTTTTTTGTTTTGTTTTGTTTTTAACTTTTTAGGTGTATTGTCTTAACTAAATGAAATTAAGTCACAAGTAATGATTATACTAGGTGCAGTATGTGGTGATTGAGACGTGTCCAGTGGTTTAAACTTGGTTCTAATTTTTCATATTACTGAATCATTAAAACTTTAAGTTGGTTAGAGTTTAACATTTATCTACAGTTAGATGTATTAACACTAAGTACACTTGTATTTTTTTTCTTACAGATGCTGTCCCTTTTACCAGCACGGATTATCAGACTACTAGAATTTATAGGATTTTCTGGAAATAGGGTACAAAATTAATTTTTTCTTAATTTTGACAAGGAAAATAAAAGTTATTGATTGAATATGAGGGAAATACAACATGTCCTCATAACTAGCAATTTGTTTTCAGAACAATAAAGAGGCATTGGGTCTTGATTATATTTTTCAGGAGTTAGAGATGGTTTTTCTATTGAAAGTTAAAAATTTTCATCTTTGTTATTTAAATTCTGGGATTAAAATTTATGTTTTACTAATATTGCTGCTTGCTGGATCTTTAGTACTCATGTGAAGTTAAAATATGCTTCCCTAACATTTTTGCAACCCCAGAGTTTCCTGAAAAACCAAGAAATTAGGCTAGATTTCCCTGTCTAACATTTTATGATTCGTATGGATCAAGCATAGTTGCAGTGTTTTGGTTTTCCTTGTTTTTACACGTTTCACTATAAAACTAAGCAAGGAAATTTGTTTTCCATGAGTTTTGTTTGTTATAGTTCTGTGTGGTTGTTTTTGTAGTGTATAACATTTATTAATCATAACACTCAATATGCTATTACCAGAGTTGCTTTATTGCAAAAGTTGTCCCTGTTAGTCCAGAGAGCAGGTTTTGAGAAATAGATGAGAACAGGTACAAGAAGCTGTAATTTTTTTCCCTATTTATTCCACTGTCCAGGTTCTCCATAAGTATTATGTATTTATGGTGATCCCTTCCTGATACGGTCTATCTATTCAGACTCTGTATTTCATCGTTACCCTTCCCCGCTACTATTCATCGTCCACCTTATTTCTTTAGTAGCTCCAACTTGCCCCTTGAATAAAGTCCAAACTATAGCATGGATTCAAGGGCCCTAGGATCTGATTCTATCCAATGCTTCTAGCCTACTACCCATCCTTTTTGCTTCACCAGTGTTCCTGCTAAACTGGGGAAATGGTTGTTCACCAGATAGACCCTGTGCTTTTCTGTTTCCATGCTTCTGCTGGTGTCTGTTTTGGATGTCCTCCCCAACTGGCATCCTCCCAAATAATGTCTCTTGAGAGCCTCTCCATCCGTTAGGATTGAGATAAATGTCACCTATTCCACAAAGCTTTCCCTTATCTTCTCCCAACAAAGCTCAAGTATTCCTAACTTTCATAATCATTTACTTATCTTTCTTATGGCCCTTGCCATATTCCAATAAAATTATGTGTTCATGTACTACCTTCGCTATTTGATGGAAAGATCTTTGAAGACATAGAACTGTATATATTCATACCCACCATAGCATTTTGTACTTAGATCCTCAATATGTTTTAATAAATTAATATTTATATAAGAGAAATACAGCATTTTCTATGAAATGAGCTCTACCTTTTTCTCTCCCTAAGATCACGTGATATAAGAATTTGGGAGATTGTCTTATGCCAGTTTAAAATGTAAAATTTGCTTCTAGTTAGATACTACTGCTATTCTAAGCTCTTGAAAAATAAACCCCACCTTCATGGAGGGTGGGGATCCGTGAGCTAGCATTTTAAAGTCTCTGAATATGATGTTTCAATCATGCTCTTCTCATTCTAAAATGCCTCTAATTCCCATAGGAGTTGGGCATCCTGCAGTTACGGGAAGGTGCCTTAGGAAGAAGCATGAGGTCTCCACTATGCTGCTTAACTATACTAGCTTTTCATACTTATATCTCCCTGATACTTGGTAAGGACTGGATTATATTTCACATCATTGAAAGTTGATTATCTTTCATCTGAGTAAGTAAAAATTTAGAAAAATCAGTAAGAGGTCGTAGTCTGTATTTACCTTTTTTTTGAGCAAAAGTGAAAAATTGTGACATTTCTCATAGTAACATTTGGCAGAGGGGGTGGAGGGTTTCTTTCATCAAATTCGTTTTAATCTGTTCTCAGCTAAAAAATTCTATAAAGCTTGTTTAAGGTGATCTATTTTTAGCATATTACATTTCTTTTTTTAGCAGAAAATTAAAGTTTTGGTTAAAATAAGTTCAATATTGCTATTAAAACCAGAGATTTCAATTAGGAACTGAAGGCAACCACCTCTGCTCCTAAGAATTTGCCCTAGAGCTTTCTTAAACTAAAGTCATAGATGAGACTTGTCTTCTTTTATTTCCCAAATATTAAAATGACAAATTAACAGTTTTCATGTTTTCCATGAATAGGTCTTTGCTATATTTTAATGAAATTTGGAGAAATAGTTATAAATGTCGACCACATTTCTTGAAGACTGAGGCTTTTCCTGTTAAATTTCTAGGTACAGGAGAAGTGAATGTTGCGGAAGCAGAGAGTCTCCTTGAACCCTACCTCCAGCAGTTTCCAAATGTACGCTTAGAATTTCAAGTGTCTTTTTCAACCATAATCAATCAACCAGGGTTGACCATTGACCAGTCTGTTTCTCCCTCCGCAGGGTTCCCTCATGTTGTTTTATCATGGCCGGATAGAGCTGCTGAAAGGAAATGTGGAAGAGGTAACTTATTTGAAGGGGTCATTTGGGGGGCTGTCTATATGGTGGAGTTGCATAGTGCACCCATTCCATATGAGCAAGTCCAGCTATATGCACTAGACAGAAATAAAGGGAAAATATGTAATTAAAAAGCCAAAAGTTAATTGTGTGGATGCACTCTATGATATATAGTAAATTACTGAATATACTCTATATTTGCACATAAAGTACCTGAGGCAATTCAGGGTAGGATATAGAAATACAGTTGGGCAGTTTAAGGGGCTTTCAAAGATCTTTGACTACTATCCATCTCGGTATTACATATTGACTTTGGAATCTTGCCCCTGCATAAAGGTCACTCCACTGTACTACATGTGTGCTCCCCATCAAAGGAAATTATTCACTAATTCCCTTGAAGAAGAAGAGGGAATAGCCTTTTATATAAATATACTCATGAACAATTTTCTTCTACACAAATGGGGTCAAACATGTATTTTTCCTTCATTTGATTTTTTTCTACTTACAATACATCTTGGATTTCTTTCCAGGTTAGTATTTCTAAATCTTCCTCATTCTTTTTGATGGCTGGGTTTCATTCAATGAGATGGATATACTGTACTTATTAAAGCAGTCCACTATTGATAGACATTTGGCTACTATACATAATGCTGTTGTAAACATTATTATGTGTATATTTCTGTGCAAAAGTGTATTTATATAAGATCGATTCTGATAATGAGGATTTCTAGGTCAAAGATGTTTGCATTTTGATAAATTCAGACAAATTGCCCTCCTAACAAGGCTAGTCCATTTAAACTCCTGTAAAGATATGAGAATACTTGTTTTCAGTGCTCTTTGCCAACTCTGGTCATTATTTATCTGTTTTATTTTTGCCAATGTGATGGCTGAAAAATGATCATCTAATTTTTTAATTTATCTTTTCCAGTGTAAAAATTTCTTCATATGTATATTTGCCACTCATTATCTTTTTCTCTAATTTCCTGTTTAAATCTTTAAACAATTTTCCCACTGAGTTGCTTGTCTTTTTTTAAGGATTTTATAAAATTGCTGTATAAGGGTTGATCCTTTGCCCGTTATGCATATAGCGATATTTCTCCCAGTCTGTCCATTGCCTTTAACTTTGTTTAAGGTATATTTTACCCTCTGGAAGTTCTAAATTTATTGTCAAATCTTTTCTTAAAGGACTTCTGCATTTTACGTCTTACTTAAGAAAGGAACTTTGCTACTCCCACATTATAAAGTTCCATGGCCCTCTCACAAAGTTAAATAAAGAGGCAAAATTTAACTGTATTGTTGCATGTAAGGAAAGGAATGTGTTGTCGTATTGAGTGGTTTAATGAGTGATGATTTTGCTCTTTTTGTACAAAGTGTTTTATGTATTTTTCCATTAGGTTATTATCTCCTTGTCTAATATCTGGATGATCAGCTTTATGCAATTGACTTATAGGCACAAGAGATATTTCGAAAATGCATTTCAGTTCAAGAAGAATGGAAACAGTTTCACCATCTCTGTTACTGGGAGCTGATGTGGATTTTTGTATTCCAACAAAACTGGAGGGAGGCATATTACTATTCAGATCTGCTTTGCAAAGAGAGTAAATGGTCCAAGGTAAAGTACAGTTTCATTAATGTCATCTGTTTGCTAATAAGTGTACAGGATGATTTTCATTTAGGACTGTTTGTTCCATAGTATGATATTGACACTGTTTTCTCAACTTAGAGATCCATCAAAGGACGAAGTGGACATTAAGTACCTGCTGTTTATAACCACTGTCCTCAGCACTACGTGCTTTAAAAGTCATCCAAATAGTCTTTTTCAGCAAAGAGGCTTTATCTGTGAAGATGAACTGTACTTATATATAAAAAGTATTAAATATCAAGTACTGATAATTGTTTGTAGACCTTTTGATACCCTGATAACAAGGCTTTTCATAATAATCAAAATTAATTCTTTATCCATTCATCCGTTGATGCACGCTTAGGTTGCTTCCATGTCTTGGCTTTTGTAAATAATGCTGCTATTAACGTTATGATGTACATATCTTTTTGAATTAGTGTTTTCATTTTTCTTTGGATATATACCCAGGAATGGAATTGCTGAATCATATGGTAGTTCTATTTTAATTTTTTGAAGAACCTTCATTCTGTTTTCCATAGTGGCTGTACCAATTTACATTCCCACCAACAGTATACTAGGGTTCCCTTTTCTCCACAATCTCATCAACATTTATTATTTGTTGTCTTTTTGATAATAGCCATGCCAACAGGTGTGGCAAGTTAGGGGAAGGAGATTAAGAGGTACAAACTGCTAGCTATAAAATAAATAAAATACAGGGCTTCCCTGGTGGCGCAGTGGTTGAGAGTCCGCCTGCCGATGCAGGGGACACGGGTTCATGCCCCTGTCCGGGAAGATCCCACATGCCGCGGAGCGGCTGGACCCGTGAGCCATGGCCGCTGAGCCTGCGCGTCCGGAGCCTGTGCTCCGCAACGGGAGAGGCCACAACAGTGAGAGGCCCACGTACCGCAAAGTAAATAAATAAATAAATAAAATACAAAGTTGTAATATACAGAGAATATAGCCAATATTTTATAACAACTTTAAATGGTGTATAATCTATAAAAATATTGAATCACTATGTTGTACACTTGAAACTAATGTAATATTGTAAATCAACTATACTTCAATTAAAAAAAAAGAGTTCTAAAAAAATTCTGATCCATTTGCGAAAAGTTGGGAGGAATGAGATAATGATCTCTTTTTCATTTTGTCCATTTTCTCATCCATGAACATTACAGTTGTGTGATAGGAAAATGGCCAAAATTAGGTGAAAAGTTTTGATCTCATTTGGAACAGGTGATATAAGACTTCATTTCCTTTTTTTTTTTAATTTTTGATACCTCTTAAATATTATATCTGGAAGATTTGTAGGTCTTTCCTGATTTGCAAGATAGCAATGTCATGTACCTAGGATGCTCTCTGACTAGCTGCTTTTCTTTTCCTCAAGGCAACATATGTGTTCTTGAAAGCTGCAATTTTGAGTATGCTTCCAGAGGAAGATGTAGGAGCAACTAAAGAGGATGTGGTAACTTTATTTAGGTAAGCAAGACACTATTTCTATGACAAAGATCCTGAATGAATAGAGGAACACACAAATACTTTCTTTTTCCGTTAGTGCTCTTCCATGCTTCACCTTCGTATTTCTTTAATTTATCTGATTTGATACAGAAACTCTTAAAAAATATATTTAGGGCTTCCCTGGTGGCGCAGTGGTTGAGAGTCTACCTGCCGATGCAGGGGACACGGGTTCGTGCCCCGGTCTGGGAAGATCCCACATGCCGCAGAGCGGCTGGGCCCGTGAGCCACGGCTGCTGAGCCTGCACATCCGGAGCCTGTGCTCCATAACGGGAGAGGCCACGGTGGTGAGAGGCCCGCATACAGAAAAAAAAAAAAAAAAAAAAAAATATATATATATATATATATTTAACTAAGGGTCAAAATGTCATCCTTTTAGCAAGACTTTGCAGATATGCCAGTGTAATTGGGAATCTTGAGAACACATGTTTTTTTGTTTTGTAATTGGGGCTTTGCTACTGCATTTTGAACACAGTTTCCTAAAATGGTATTGTTAGCTAAAGATGTTTACTGTTATAAATCAAAGGTATTTTGTGATAAGAAGAACTTAAGAATATAACACAATATAATACACCCTTAGTTTTCATTAGTGTGCCAAAGATTCTGAGAAGCTCTGCTGTGAAGTAATCTGTTTAACTTTGTTTAGACCAGTGTCCATCCATCCATCCATCCATCCATCCATTCATCTGTAACCTTTATGTTGAGCACCTACTGTATGAAGACTACTGTATTAAGTGCTGAATAAACAGGCATGGATCCTGTCCTTGTGTAGTTCATAATCTTGTAGTGGAACTAGACATCAGTGAAATAATCACCCAGTAAATGAAAAATTATAACACATGACTGATTTTTCTCCTCCTACTTGTCTCACCATTCCTTCTTGGTATCTTTGTAAGCTCATCCTACTTCCATCTATTAAAAGTTGATGCTTTTGATTTCAAAGGTCAGTCTTAGAACCTCAACCTTAGGAAATCTGATTCAAGCCTAATTGAAATCCCTAGTACAGACCTTGTGACTGAGCTCCAGACCCATATATCTAGCTCCCGTTTACCACCTTCGCTTAGATATGTGAAAGCATTTAAAACTCACCACATCCAGTCTTCCCTAGCAAACCTGGTGTTCTTTCCTCTCTCAGTGACTGGGACTACCAGTTAGCAAGGCAGAAACCTATAACACTTGCATCGCCAACACTACCCACTGTCCCTCCATTCCCCGGTGGGAGGAGAGGTATGGATAAGAGCACAGAGGGAATGATAGTTGAGATGAGGTCTGAAGGTGGCTCGGGAGCTGCTGGGGCAGCGGGGAGTTGTAGTGATAACAGTTTCAGACCAAGGGAATAGCATTTGAGAGGACGCTGTTGCAGGAACAGCATATGAGAGGATGCTGTTGCAGGAACAGCATATGAGAGGACGCTGTTGCAGGAACAGCATATGAGAGGATGCTGTTGCAGGAACAGCATATGAGAGGATGCTCTTGCAGGAACAGCATATGAGAGGATGCTCTTGCAGGAACAGCATATGAGAGGATGCTCTTGCAGGAACAGCATATGAGAGGATGCTCTTGTAGGAACAGCATATGAGAGGATGCTGTTGCAGGAACAGCATATGAGAGGATGCTCTTGCAGGAACAGCATATGAGAGGATGCTCTTGTAGGAACAGCATATGAGAGGATGCTCTTGCAGGAACAGCATATGAGAGGATGCTCTTGCAGGAACAGCATATGAGAGGATGCTCTTGCAGGAACAGCATATGAGAGGATGCTGTTGCAGGAACAGCATATGAGAGGATGCTCTTGCAGGAACAGCATATGAGAGGATGCTCTTGTAGGAACAGCATATGAGAGGATGCTGTTGCAGGAACAGCATATGAGAGGATGCTCTTGCAGGAACAGCATATGAGAGGATGCTCTTGCAGGAACAGCATATGAGAGGATGCTCTGGCAGGAAGGAGCACTGCACATTAAAAGAACTAAGACAAAGCTGATATTGGTCAGGACGTGACGCTACATTTTATATATAGGTCAAAGGAAAATGAACGTCCAGGATTGCTCAAAATATGTCTCATAGAACACAGAATTCCTTTAAAAAATAAGACAGAGTCTCCAGCCGTACCACCCTGAGTGCGCCCGATCTTGTCTGATTTTGGAAGCTAAGCAGGCTCGGTGCTGGTTCGTACCTGGATGAGAGAGCGCCTGGGACTACCGAGTGCTGTAGGCTTAAAAAAAAAATAAGACAAAATGTGTTTTAGGGACACAGAGCTCATTGGTATCCCGAGTGGGAGTTGGTAAGGTAATAGAACAGAGGTAGAAACCAGACTGGGATTGGCTAAAGAGTGAATAAGATACAAAGAAATGAAGAGAGTTGAGCATAAATAACATCCCTGGATAACTTTGACTATGAAGTGGAAGAGATAGAGAGAGTTGGAGGGAGATGTATTATCAAAGAATATCTTAATGGGAGAGATCTGAGCATTCTCAAAAACCACTGGGAAGGATCCTTTGGAGAAAGAGAAGTTAGACGTATAAGCGAGAAATGGGATAAGCGAGAAATGGGATAACTGATATTTGCAAGGCTCTTGAGAATGCAAGAGGAGATAGAATCCAAAGCGCTGATGGCAGGACTGGCTTTATCTAGAGGGAGGACCAGGTCCTCTATTGTATGGGAGGGAAGAAGTCCAGAACAGGTGCGGAGGCATGCAAGCTCGTGGGTGGTAGTGTGAGATGGAGGGCTTCCTCCCTCACAGCTTCTGTTTTTCTTTATGAAGTAGGAGGCAGGGCTGTCTGTTGAGAGTGAAAGAGAAAGGAGTGGGCTGGAGGTGTGAGGAGGATGAAGAATATTGGAAATCATTGCTGTAGAGGGTGGGACAGTGAGGTGATGAGAGAAACACAGGAGGGGGAACGGCAGGCGGTGCCAGGGCTCGTTCGAGGTTGGTGTTGATGAATTTACAGTGATACCAACTTGTTCTCAGTGCAGGTGCAGGGAGGATGGATACTGAGCTTCATCCGGATGAGTGCAACGACTAGGCATTAGCAAGGGAGTATGCAGTAAAGATTGCCTGCCTGGCCGTCTAAGCAAGAGGATGGAGGGATGGGGAAAGAAGGAGACTGCTGAGCTGGGAGAAAGTTGAAAGGCAAGAGGACTGAAAGTCTTAGTAGAACAGCCAAGGTAGAATGAGGAGAGTGGTGTTCAAAGGGTGGTGTGCTTGAATTTGTGCTTTGAGGTCGAAAAGCCACAGGTGATGAAGTGCTCTAAGGTGTGACTGTAGGGGTGGGTGGCTGTGGTGGAAAGGAGGAGGTGACCGCTGGAGATGAGGAAGTTAAGGAACGGAGAAGCCCAACTGCGTCCTTCAAACATAATTGATGACAAACACTTTTTAAAAAATATTTATTTATTTTTGGCTGCGTTGGGTCTTTGTTGCTGCGCACGGGCTTTCTCTAGTTGCGGCGAGCGGGGGCTGCTCTTCGTTGCGGTGCGCGGGCTTCTCATTGCGGTGGCATCTCTTGTTGCGGAGCACGAGTACTAGGCGCACGGGCTTCAGTAGTTGTGGCACGTGAGCTCAGTAGTTGTGGCTCACGGGCTCTAGAGCGCAGGCTCAGTAGTTGTGGTGCACGGGCTTAGTTGCTCCGCGGCATGTGGGATCTTCCTGGACCAGGGCTTGAACCCGTGTCCCCTGCATTGGCAGGCAGATGCTTAACCACTGCGCCACCAGCGAAGCCCAGTGACAAACACTTTTAAGTGGAATACTATAGTGTGTGACCACATTATGAGAAATAATGGCCTGGCTGAACCCTCTGACAAATTTGTCAGAACAAATTTGAAGGTATGACCAGGACTACTTTTTCATGCTTTTAGAGAAGCTCTTTTTAGCAATAGGACCATGTATACTAATAGAATCAACATTAGTGGAAGCCACGTAGATTAATGCCACCTCTTACTGGTAGAATGTATTGCCTCATTTCACACAAACGACAAATGGAATGGAATATTAAGATACATTGGGATCTTTTACATCCACACTTCCTGTACTTCAAAGTAAATTTTCTCCATATCAAAATAATTGCTTTGAAATATGTAACGAATCTTATTTTCGGGAGAAAGCTTGAGGTCTGCTGCATGTGTGATAGCATCTAATTTGTTGGGATAATGAGAGGAGAGTCCCCAGAATGAATGTTCTCTTCATACAGACTCTGTGATCCTTAAATAACAAGGTTTCATGTCCACTGCATGCTTCTGACCCCTTCCCTCAACTCCCACCTCACATTTGCACTGCCTCTTCCACTGATGTTAATTCACAGTAATGATGGGCATTCTGGTTTAAAAGCCATAGCCCTTTGTACACCTGAAAATAATATAATGTCATATGTCTATTACACCTCAATTTAAAAAATCCATATTCCCAAATTGTGCCCAGAAAGAATGTAGCACAAGCTTGTCTTCATACTGGAATGTTTTTTCCTCTTATTGCATCTTTTTCTTTCAGTATAGCTGGATATTTCCCTAAATTTCTTCTTGGCAACGTGTTTGGTGCATTTGCAAAGTTATGTATAAGAAAGTGCCCTAGGAACATGTAGTCTCAACCATCCTATTCTCAATTTTATGTGCTTGTGAATTTTATAGTTGGAATTTCTTAGAATTTTGAGAGAAAGGTTGTAAACATGGTATATGTTCTTAGTTGATTATTTTCAAAATCACCTATGCTTTGGAAACATTTTCTCAAATTATACGTGAATTGACGGCTATCTTTTGAGCCACATTACTTTACAGATCTGTGTCATACTTGCAGAAAGGAATAGGAGATGTACCAGTATACGCTATTGCCTCTCTCAGAAGTATCCACAATGTAAATACTTTGGACTTTTTCCTGCTTACTTATGGAAATTGCCAATTTTATATCTAGATTTCCTTGACTCTGATAGGCTAAGACACTTGCTAAGTTAACTAGAAAGAAATACGTGTCAATCGGTGGTTCTCAAACTTGTGCGTGCATCAGAATCCTCTGGAGGACTCATTGAAATCCAGACTGCTGGGCCCCAGCTCTAGAGCTGCTGATTTAATAGGTCTGGGGTGGAGCCTGCAAATTTGCATTTCCAACAGGTTTCAAGGTGATGCTGATGCTACCGGTCTGGGGAGCACAGCGTGACAAGGACAGGTGCAAATAAAGTATGTGTTCTTAACGACCTTTTGCTGGGGCTGGGGCTTTTCACAGACAGGTGGATGGCTTGAAGCAGAGAATTGCTGGGAAATCGATCCCTACTGAGAAGTTTGCTGTGAGGAAGGCTCGACGTTACTCTCCCTCGTTGCCTGCACCCGTGAAGCTCGTCTTGCCTGCCCTGGTATCTGCCTTTATTTTATTTACTGTTTGCATCCTAGAAATAAATTGTCTATTCACAGTGGCAGGGAGAACATCTAACTTTTGTTGTGAAGTTTGCTCAATTAAAAACCATTGTGTTTGTAAGGTGAACGTTTATAAATAAATTTTTAATGAATAATAAAAAGTATAGCAGATGTTTTTTGACTGATTGGTATGTTCTAGGAATTTTGATAAAGGCTATTTATAAAATATATCATTTAATTCTTATAGTAACTCTATGAGGGGAGTTTCTCTTTGTAGCCTCATTTGACAAGCAAGGAAATTCAGGCAGAGACAGGGTGAGTTGACTTAATTGAAATTGAGTTGAATTATAATGCAAGCCACATATGTAACTGTACCTTTTCTAGTAGCCACATTAAAAATCAAAAGGTAAAAAATTGAAAAATAAAAGGACACATGATATTCATTTTAAGAGTATTGGTTTAACCCAGTTTATGCAACATTTTGTCATTTGAGCATGTAATCTCTAAAAACTTATGAATGAGATTCCTCATTCTTTTATATTGTACTCATCCATTGAAATCTGGTGTGTGTCCTATGCTTAGAGTGCGTCTCAATCTGAACCAGTCTCATTGCTCCAGAGCCATAAGTGGCTGGTGGCTGCTGTGCTCTAGCCCAGCGCTAGAGCTCACATTCTTGATTGGTATGCCATTTAGGCAAGACTGTGAAAAGCATAATTTCAACTTAAATTGTCTTAATGAAGACTTTTTTTAAAGTACTGAATATATCAAATTATGATGACTCTTTGGGGCTTTAGTTTTGCGTAGGTAGTCACATAGCACAGGAAAGCTGTTTAGTGCAAGCTGACACCTGCTGTCCTCCTTTGGGGGTTCATGATTTTTTTTTTTTTGATTCCAGAGTTTATTCAATTATCCCCCTTTAACAGTTATGTAGTTTCCAGTTTTTACTAGTACAAACAAGCTACAATTAATATTCTTTCATATCTCTCTTTTTGTACATGGGCATAAAATTGTCTTGGAGAGATGTCTAGAAATGGAATTCTGAGTTGAAGGCCATATGCATTTAATACTTTGACATTGCCAGTTTGCCCTCCAGAAAGGCTGTACCAATTTAAATTCTTACCAACAGTGTTTTACTGTTTAAATGTGCAGTTGAGCACCTTTTCACATGCTTGTTCATTTTTATTTCTTGTTTTGTGAATTGTTGTTCGTATACTTCCCTATTTTCATCGGTGTTTTATTATTTTATCATTGATATAGAAGCTCTTTAAATATTCTGTGAGAAAGAAAACTGCAGCCCCTCACAGGCATCAGTTGGGAGCTAGCCTGCACCTAGTACCTTGACCGAGGTTTTCCCAACTTAGTCTCGGAGAACACCACCCTCAGACTGGGTTGTTCTGTGCCTGTGATGGAATGAGATAAAAATATGACCACTCTGGGGACTTCCCTGGTGGCGCAGTGGTTAAGAATCTGCCTGCCAATGCAGGGGACACGGGTTCGAGCCCTGTTCCGGGAAGATCCCACATGCTGTGGAGCAACTAAGCCCGTGCGCCACAACTACTGAAGCCCGCAGGCCTAGAGCCCGTGAGCCACAACTACTGAAGCCCGTGCACCTAGAGCCTGTGCTCCACAACAAGAGAAGCCACCGCACTGAGAAGCCCGCGCACCGCAATGAAGAGTAGCCCCCGCTCGCCACAACTAGAGAAAGCCTGCCCGCAGCAACGAAGACCCAATGCAGCCATAAATAAATAAATGCATAGATAAATAGATAAATTTAATTAAAAAAAGATATGATCGCTCTGTAATCATATCTGAGCTGATGATGTATAGCTCTCTCTGATTACTAAGGGTCTTAAGGAAGGTTAACTCAGAGCACTTATTTCTCCACGGCTAAGGGGGTAGAATTGGCTTGAATTTGTGGTGACTAGGAATTTTACCAAAATCCTATATGTCATAAAATGGCAAGGTCAGGTATGAGCGTTCCTTCTTCTGACAAAATATTCCTTCGATAAAAGCAAAATTTAAAAACATCATCATCAGTTAAAATAAATGTTCGGTTAGTTATTGAATTGAACTCTTACTCTATTAGCAATAAGAAGCTAGATGTAAAACAGGAGGTAGTGTTGTTATCTTAGTTTTCAGTACCATAACGTAAAGATGACTTTGCTGCCACTCCAATGTATTTTCCTCATTTCTACTGCTTCCCTGTAAGAGGCTGTTCAAACAATATCTCTATAATATTTTAACATTCATTTATTTCCAAGAAGATTCTAATTACCCTGGTTATTTCATACCTTTCAAAATATGAACTGCACTACCAGGAAGATTAGAAAAATATTTTCAAGCAAGAGCACATTTGCTTTTGGTCCAAAAAAAAAAAAATTCTCATCTGTTTGCCTATTAAGTATAATTTGCAATGAGAAATCATTAGTTTACATTTTGAGGGGCTGTCATTCTGCCGTATGGCCTTTAAATGAATGCATTTTCTGCATATTGGATTGCATTACTGGACTGTCACATGTTTTTAATGGTATAAAAGAACCTGAGCCAGGTAAAATATTTCCTATGTTCATTTTCAGTGATGTCCTTGGAGACATTTTATATAAACAATTGGCAGATATTGAAAAATGTTTCCCTTTACTTAAGAGTAACAGCAAAAATCTATATTAAATAGAATTGTTCATAGTATCATTTTAAAATATTATATTTATTTCTGTATCTGTAATCCATTATCTTCCAAAAGGATTGGATACCAGTAGGTGCTTAGTAAATACTTGTTAAATGAACGAGTAAATTAATTTTTCAGTAAAAACACAATATACTATATATATATATATATAGAATACTTCGCAGTATAAAAGGCAAAAAGCATTAAATAAAGTGAGAAAAGTGGAAATTTAATCACTAAATTCCAAATGAGGAAAGCTAAGGAAAATGATCTCTAAATGTTGTCTTGAGATCACTAGCAACTGAGGCAAAACACACATATGTAGTTTTGTTGCTGTAAAGAACATTGAATAACCTCACATAATTGCGAATGGTTTTTCATTTTTCCTCATTAGGAAATGATGTATGTTTGGAATGGTTTTCCACTAGTGAGCAAAAGAAAAGATCTTTCTGAAAGTCTGTTGGTGACTGTTGAAAAGGCTGAGGCAGATCTACAGAGTGAAAGTAAGTATGAAAAGTAAGAGCCTGGAAATCTTTACTGTTGCCCCTCTCCCATCCTTTCCCTGTGCACATATGCCCGCGTTAATCTGTGTGCATGATGAGGACAAAAGAGCTTGAGCCGAGGTGTCTGGGTGATTGCAATCAAGATGGAGAAAAGATACCTGATACAACATGGATGAGCCTTGGGGATGTTAGGCTCAGTGAAAGAAGCCAGCTGCAAAAGAAAACAGAGTGAGAGATATAATTTACATAAAATATGGAGGATAGATCAGTCTGTAAAGACAGAAAGCAGATGAGTGGTTGCCTAGGGATGGAGAACTGGGGGTGTGTGAAAGCTAAAGTTTATGGCATTTGTTTTGGGGGTGATGAAAATATTTTAAAATTGATTCTGGTGATGGTTCACACCTCTGTAATATACTCACAGCCAGTGAATTGCATACTTTAAAGGGGTGAATTGTATGTTATGGGAGTTTTATCTTAAGGCTGTTACAAAATAAAAAGATGAAGAAGAGAGTTGAGTTTTAGAGCAGCTCAAGGGAAACGTATACTGGTTTAGTTGGTTGTGATTCTTTCCGTGCCTCATTTTTGCTCTCTAATGACTACTGTGTTTTTACAGACACAGAGAATTGTTTGTTTTCAAGTTGAAATCTTGTCACAATTTGATTTTTTTACTCATTACTTTGGTTGTACTGGAGGTCCCTTTCCAGTGTACTGGAAGCTCTATTTACTGGAAGCAGCTGGCATAGTAGGAGGAAAAGCAGCTGGTCTGGTCTTATAGTTCCAATCCTGCAGCTGTGAGGCTCTGGGAAGCATACCTCATCCCATACCCAGGAGGGCCTCCGATTTCTTTTAAAATGGGTGTGGTGTTGGACCAGATGATACCCAGGGTTTTCTTGCTCTGACATTTTCTAGTTCTCTGTCATAAATAGAGGCTTTAACTTTTGCTAAACAATACCATAAGTGATAGCTTTTGTTGTATTCCTTATCAACCCCCAAATCATTTAGGTATTATTCAAAGATAATGGTCTTATCCTCTGGAATGTTCTAATCACAGAAGTAAAGCAAAAATTGCTAGGAGGATAAACATTGTAAAGGGCATAAAAATTCAAGAATAGCCAGGAAAAATTCTAACAGGTAACTAATTTTTCTTAGCTGGAAGAAAATGGGCACCGAAGGAGTACCGGCTCTATATGCAGTATACTCCCCACGTGGGTGATGAAATGATTGACTGACTCCAGGGATGAGCACCTCATTTGGATTATTTATTTATTTAATTTTTTTGGTAGTATAATTGCTTTACAATGTTGTGTTAGTTTCTGCTGCTCTACAGCAAAATGAATCAGCTATACATATATATATATCCCCTCTTTTTTGGTTTTCCTTCCCATTTAGGTTACCACAGAGCACTGAATAGAGTTCCCTGTGCTACACAGTACATCGTTTTTTACTTCAACCACAGTATGGGGCTGAAATGTTTAATGACATTTCTCTTTACAATTACTTTAAAAAAATTAAACACGTAATTACATTTGATAGATGTGTTACCGAGTCCAAGCTCACTCTGCTCGCCACACGACAGGCCAATGAATCAGAGACGAGGTGCTGAGGCAAGGAATATGACTTTATTCGGAAAGCCAGCAGACCGAGAAGATGGCAGACTAGTGTCTCTGAAAAACCATCTTATCGGGGTCTGGATGCCAGTTTCTTTTATAGAATCAGAGAGGGAGAGGTGGTGAGGAAGTCAAGTAAAAGGGCCACCAGTTTTGCAAAACTCCTGGAATGACCAGCCTGGGGATGTGTTAGTTTCTTTTTTCTTGCAGCCAGTCACAGGTGGGCAGGGTTCCCTGAGGCAGGCCATTATGTATGATTATAATAACAAAAGCAACGAAAAGCAAAGGTTAAAGTCAAAGGAACAGATCCAATGGGGAGTCCGTTTTAGCTCTTCCCTGTTACACATGTAGGTGAAAAAAGTCACCCATGTTTTTCCTGCTATGCACAATTAATTTAGAATTTCTGTGTATACCATCCTAGCTTTATTTTTTATTATTTTTTAAAAATTTATTTATTTTATTTATTTTGTTTTTGGCTGCGTTGGGTCTTCGTTGCTGCGCGCAGGCTTTCTCTAGTTACGGTGGTGGATTCTTAACCACTATGCCACCAGGGAAGCCCCATCCTAGCTTTATTTTTATAGTTACAATCATAGTGTACCTGGACATACTCTAGCCTAGTTTTTTTCATTTATTATATCGTAAACTTTTTTTTCCCATTGAGATATAATTGACATATAATACTATATTAATTTCAGGTGTATAGCATAATGATTTGATATTTGTATACATTGTAAAATGATCACCACAGTAAGTCTAGTTAATATCTGTCACCGTACATCGTTACAAAATTTTTTTTCTTGTCTTCAGCACTTTTAAGATCTACTCTCTCAGCAACTTTCAAATATGCAATACAGTATTAACTACAGTCACCATGCTGTATACTACATCTCCGTGACTTGACTTATTTTATAAGTGGGAGTTTGTACCTTTTGACCTCTTCATATATTTCACCCACCCCTCAACCCCTCGCCCCTGGCAACCAATCTGTTACCTGTATCTATGAGGTTTTTTCCTTTTTTTTTTTTAGATTTCACATAGAAGTGAGATCATATGGTGTTTGTCTTTCTCTGTCTGACTTTTGTTCACTTAGCATAATATCCTCAAGGTCCTTCCTGTTGCAAATGGCAAAATTTGATTCTTTCTTATGGCCGAATGTTCTATTATATATATATAACACATTTTCTTTATCCATTCATCCATTGATGGACACTTAGGTTGTTTCCATGCTTGGCTGTTGTAATAATGCTGCAATGAACATGAGCGTGTATATATCTTTTCAAGTTAGTATTTGTTTTTCAGATAAATATGCAGAAGTGGGATTGCTGGATCATATGGTAGTTTATCATAAATGTTTTAACTGTTGCTAAGTAACCCTTATAATAATTTCAAAAGCTTCATGGCATTCCATGGAGATAATATATCATAATTTAATCAACTCTTTCAGAATTGTTGGGCATTTAGGCTGCCTTCCATATTTAAAATAATTGTAGCTTTAGATTCCCACCAATAAGGAGAAGAAATAGAAAAGAATGAAAGCTGAATCAGTGGGCTTATCTGCTAACAAGCTCAAGGTTTCAGGCTGGATAGATAAAGAATGAAATGGAACTAAGAGCAATGCTGTTCTGAGGCCACAGACCACCACCCTCCCCACCTCCCCATTAGCCTTCTTGCAAATACAAGCAGGTGATCACAGGGATACCAGGTGAGTGGAATATTCTACTCCACTCTTGAAAAACAGTAGTACGAAAAGCTCATCTGTTGATGAAGGGCGAGTATGTCATGTTCCCATATTAAAGGCATCATTTTAAATAAAAGAATGATGGTTTCCTTTCCCTTCTTTTTCCTTCCCCTTTTACAGAAAAGTTATAATACTTCAGCTCATTTTGATCTGGAGGTTAGGTAGAGTAGCCAAAATATTGAGGTATTCATCTTCATGGACTGATAATTCCCTTTGATTTCTGGGCACCAGGGAAACAAGTGGATGAGAAGGCTCAAGAAACTGGGACCCAAAGGAGGAACTCAAAGTTTGTACTATTTAACAAAGAACCAAAACAACGTATGTATAAGTACAGACTATATGGACATTTCAGACTTTCTTTGTCTGTGTCCTAGATGTTCCATCACTAACATATTTTCTGCATAGCTTCTACTAATATAGAGTTATGATAAACCTCCTTACATTTTTTACAATTCTTTAAAATTTTTAATTGTAGAAAAATGCACATAATATAAAATTTACCATATTAACCATTTTTTAAACTGTATGGTACAGTAGTGCTAAGTATATTCACTTGGTTGTGCAACCAGTTTTGAGAACTTTTTCATACCCATTAAACAATAACTCCCCATTTCCCCCTCCCCACAGCTGTGGGCAATCACCATTCTACTTTTTGTTACTATGAATTTGACTATTCTAGAGACTTCGTGTTAGTGGAATCACACAGTATTTTTCTTTTTGTGGCTGCCTTATTTCCCTTATCCTAATGTCCACCAGGTACATCCATGTTGTAGCACATGTCCGAATTGCCTTCCTTTTCAAGGCTGCATAATATTCCCTTGGATGTTTATACCACAGTCTGTTTATCTGTTCATCCATCAATGCATATTTGGTTGCTTCCACTTTTGACAACTGTGAATAATAAATACTTCTATGAATATGGGTATGCAAATATTGTTTTGAGACCCTGCTTCCAGTTCCTTTAGATATATGCCCTAAAGTGCAATTGCTGGATCATACGGCATTTCTATTTTTAATTTTTTGAGGAATTGTCATCCTGTTTTCTCTAGTGGCTGCACCATTGTACATTCCTACCAACAATGCACAGGGTTTCAATTTCTCTACATCCTTGCCAATGCTTGTAATTTTCTATTTTTTTAAAAATTTGTTTTGTTTGTTGGTTGGTTGGTTGGTAATAGCCATCCTAATGGGTGTGAGGTGATTTTATTTTTACTCTTTTTAATATGGAATAATTTCAAAAAGGAAGAATACTTACTTTGATTTGAGTGGAAACTCAACATAGAGCCCCATCATTTTGAAATGTAATTTAGATGAAACTCCATAAATGTTTACTTCAAAAAATGAGATTTCACAAAATGTACTTCAGTAAAATGTATTTGGGCTTTTGAACAAATTTACTAGTGTTTATTTTTGTCAAATCAATTTGGCCACTCTTCATTAATTTGTTCCTTTGAACACTCTTAGATTTTCCATACTAGGTATAGCATTGTGACAGGCAGAGAAAGCATTGTTCCTGTCATTAAGGGAATTATCTGTGATTAAACCCCACATATTCACAAATCAGATGGAAAAATGAATATGTTTTAAAATAAGTGGGTATGTGAAAACTGGGAGGTAAAGAAAAACCTCTTTTTATTAAGTTAAAACATTTGTAGGGTATTTTTCCCCCAGAAAAGCAGCCTAGCTTGCTTCTTCTGTTTTACTACAAAGATAAGGATTTTGGTGCAGTAGAATAAATTCTATTGTTTGAAAGTCTATCCTTTGTAGTATAGACTATTACGTACCACCAGGGAGTAAGGGCTTTGTATACAGTCGTACCTCAGTTTCTGCGTGGAATCGGTTCCAGGACCCACTGTGGATACCAAAATCCTTGGATGCCCAGGTTCCATAGTCCACCCTCTGTATCTGCAGTTTCCGCATCTGTGGATTCAGTCAACCATGGGTCCTAAATGTAGCTCCAATCTGGTTGGTTGAATTTGCGGATGTGAAACCCTCGGATACAGAGCACCCACACTGTTAAGAAGTCTTGAGGGACTGTTGAGTTTTCCTCTATTTAAGCAGGCTCTTCATCCCTTCCCTCTAAATTTATTTTTCCCCTACATTGCTGGGGGAAAAAAATTAAAGGAGTAATATGTGTATCAGACTACACATGTAAAATGCAGTAGAGTTTTAGACAATCAGGCTGTTCTCTCCATCCATTCCTTTCTCTTTTAATGACATATTGAGATGATAGACTTTGAGAGATATTTAAGCAGGACTGGTGGGGGAGAAGAGCTCAGACAGACAGACACATTGTACTTTGTACAAACTTGTCTTTGTATGTCTTCCTGCTGGGTAAAAAAAAAAACCAAACAAACAAAAAACTGGTTTCTTTTCTGAACATCACTTTTGCTAGATGTTGCACATGAAATTTATGATGATCTCTTCTAGGTCCACGGTTTTACGCAAGATGGTTACCTGATTCTATACCCCTACCCCCTTAGGATCTTTTAGTAATTAAGCTCTTATCCTTCAGAGTGAGGGGAAAAAATCCACAACTGGAGAATGGAGTGAAGTGGTAAAGCTGAGGTGACTTCAGCCTCCACTAAACACCTCCTTCCCCCCTACCCACCCTCGCCACATACACATTATTAGGAAATGAATGTATTTTGGCTTCTCATACCTTTGTTAAGTGTCTCTAAAGTAAAAGATGGTAGAGGATATAATTGGTGTTCTCCTTGGACGATGCCACAGTTATGAAAGGCTGGTCAGAGATACAAAAGGAGGAATACTATTTAAAGACAGAAAAGAACTTGGTAGTGTGCCTGGAGTCAGTATTTGCTATTAATTCCAATAGTGCTTCACTCAAAATCTGACTAAATTCCACATGTAGCCAGAAGTTGATTCAGTAGTTCTACTTTAACTATTTGTTATAACTAATTTGCTTGGTGAACTTATGTAGCAAGCATAATAAAAGTTACATAAAAGGGAAAGTGTTACTTTATGGCTTTTCACCTCTAAATCCATTTTCACATTTTTCCTTTGGTGCATATCAGCTAGCTTCTGAAATGTTCAATGTACATATTTTGTAGCTTGGGCTTCAAATTTCCTTTTCCCTAAGCCTACCCTCTGTTTTAAGTTCAGCAGATCTTTTGTGATGCAAGTGTGCTTTGGCAGCATTATCGTGTAATTTTCTTGGGGTGTAAGATGGAAACCATGTGTTGAAATGTCCATCCATGAACTCTCCCATGAGTCTCCCATGAGGTTGATAGTCATGATAAAGCCTTCACATTTTAAGGGAAAATAATCATCTGACAGGTAGCGGTCTGAGGAAATAATGGTTTTGCTTTCTAAGGTTTTTGGAGGAACATGGTATTTTTGAATCCATTTTCCATATCCCTAAGTCATGATCTAAATAAAAGTTGTGTGTTTTAATGGTACTTCAACTTTCCATGGTGTTCCTCAGCAAAATTGTCCTTCACTGAGCACCAAAACGGTGAGATAAGACAAACTGTCATAAAATGTGACACAGAACTCAATAGAATGCACAAAAGTGATACTAAAACTTAACATCCAGTATGGACCGTAAGGGTTTGGTTCTAGGCCTGGAAAGATATTACTTCTTGAATGGATATTTCAATGAGCATCCATGATTAGAAGCATAAATAGATTTTTTTGAGGCAGAGGGGGAATGGATTTTAATAGGGAAGGTAACGTGGCATTGACATTTGTGATTTTCTTAGTGAATAACCTGTCAGGTCTTGGAAGTGAGAGGTGAATATCAGCTATTTTCAGCACCTAGAAGTGACCTCCTCTGAGTTGGTTAAGTAGCATCCTTAGCCTCCCACAGACAAGCGGTTTACTGATTAAAACACCAGCATGTGTTAATGGTGATTTCTGACGTTTATACTGAAAGCAAGGGTATTTCAGTATGAGGGACTCTTAGAGCCTCGTTAGTTTGGTTTACTGCCCCTTCCCACCTGTGTTGTCACAGCGTGAAATGTATAAATTATCGGTCTGTCTTGGAGTGATTTGTTAGCTGCACTTAACTTGCAAAAAAAAAAAAAAACACCCCCCAAATTCAAAAGTGATAGATGTGAAATGGCAACCTTTGTCAGATAGATGTCACACGTGATACGGTTCCTTCTGTTAATATATGTTAGCCTTGGGCTGTAGAAGGTAACGAGTCATTTTCAAAAGGAAAAAAGTCCTGAAAGAAAATCTTCCTCATTAGCCTCACGCAGTTAGAAGTTTGTGGGGATTTTAAGGAGCCTTGCACACCTCAGAACCATTTTGTCTAATTTTATGACATAATTTCTGCCCCAAAAGCACATAACCTGGGAGAACTGATAAGTTGTAAACATAATGATCTGGAGAGGGTGTGCTCCTTCCTGAATTTTTAATGGGGAGAAGGCCATCTGCTTCTCCATATGGAAGCATTACCCTCTTCTACACGAAGCCAGCACAGCTAGGGACCAGAACCACAGGAAGAGGCAGCGTGCGACCTCCTCACCGCTTTACCTTTCACAGAACTAATAAAGCTCTTGCTTTATTTACAGTTCAAACTTCCTATAATTATACCTAAGGTCACATAACTCAGAGTATGAGCACCCCAAAAAAATTTTAAGTGGCTAGAGTGAACCCCTTAATAAAATGGTGTATGAATGTAGTTAGTATTCTTTTCATTTGAAATATTTTCATTGTATTTTATTTAGTGAGGCATAACAAATGCTAAACATATTCTCCTTATTTTTATTTTTATTTTTTTATTTTTTATTTATTTATTTTTAAACATCTTTATTGGGGTATAATTGCTTTACAATGGTGTGTTAG